GACATTCTCAATTAAGGTTCCGTGTATCCCTAGGGTCCCTTCAGAGATTGGTAGGTGTTCTTTGAGCTGTCTCTGACTGACCTCCTATCTGATGGGGAATGCATAGTTACAAGGCCAATACCACTTGACAGAGTCAGCCGCATGATACCAATGATCTTTTTAGCTGTAAGAGTAAGGAATTTTGACCACCACTGTAAGTTGAGCATTCTTGCCACTGGCCATTGATGTAAGGAACATTTTTTCCCACTGACCACCAATAAAAACTGGTTTAGCAGGGGTTCCATAAGACCTGAATATGTTTTCATAGATTCCTCTGGAGCAAAAAGTGTGTGTAGACAGCCAAAGTGTGAAAGCCAAGATATTCCTGTTTGGGAGATATTCCAAATGACAAGTTGGTGGTAAAAGCATCTGATGACATCCACCGAAAGCCAAAATATCAGTTTTTAGTGTATTTACCTTGGAAAATATTATTACACCACCTACACACTTCAGAATAAATCACTGATCTTCCAAGCAAAGTGATATAGTGGTAATATCCCTTTCAGAATATGAGGAAAAAGCCTGGCCATAGCAATGCTTATTCAACAAAATAAAAATTAGTAGCTGCCATAGCAAAAAAAAAAAAAAAAAAAAAAAAATTAAAAAATGCAGAGAGCAAGCAAAAATTGAGCAGTGGATTATAAATTGCACCGAAGCACTGAAACATACAGTACATAGTACAAGATATACTAAGTTAAAGTGGAACTGCACTGCATCTGAGTACCACAAACCAAAAATGCTATACAATTAATTTTTAATATCCAAAACAAATGCCTCCACCCATCCATGTCTCTTTTATTTAGCTGAGAAATAATTTTGAAAAACACCTCCTTGGATTTCTGGCAGTGGCCATCTTCAGTAAGTGCAGATGATTCATGTAGTAGTTACTCCCTAGAATCCATCTGTACTTAGCTTAAGCAATGGTTGCGTTGACAACCCCCCCACATCATGAAGGCTCCTGGGATCTATGACATAATTTGCCTAGGCATGGAAACCAGAAAATAAATGAAGGAATGCAAACAAAATTGTTAAAAACAAGTAAATATGATATACTTTCCTATTTACTAATGCTAGCAGCATAAGGATTAGAAATAGTCTGATGATGATTGAGAGAGTGAAGTTTGGATTTAAGTCAGAACTTCTCATCAATACACTTATTCTAGGTCTGACACTTAACAAAAAAACAAAACACCATTAAAGCCAGCAGATGAGCAGCCAGTTGACTAACATTTTTAAGAAGCATCCAGCAACTGCAGCCCGCATAAACATTTGAGCTCAAGCACACCAAATATGAGAATGTTGAATATTATAAACCATGCCACTAAATATTCTAAGGAGTCATTAAATACGGAGGCAATGAAATCAACTGCTTCCTCCGGGGTAGAGGTCCTAGTGTGTCTACCTGCTTAAAATTCTAAAAACAATAGAAAACTAAGCTAGAACAAAGATTGACATATTTTAAACACTCAGTAGCAGTGTCAAGTAACTCAAGAGAAAGCAAACATCGCTTCATGGCCATTCTAGCATCACGTGACAGATGTCTGGATACTTGAAGTATCAACTGCGGGAATGGCATGGAAAGATGGGTGGTTTAGAGCCTGTATGTGTTGGGACAAACATGTCTAAAAATTAATATATATTTTTTGGGAAAAAAATACACTGATTAAAAAAAAAAAAAATAAAAAATAATATACCCAAATTTTTTTGTAAAATTTGAAAGAAGATGTTACGTCGAGTAAATAGATACCCAACATGTCATGCTTTAAAATTGCGCACACTCGTGGAATGGTGTGAAACTGCGGTACTTAAAAATCTCCATGGTTGATGCTTTAAAAAGGTCTACAGGTTAGCAGTGTAAAGTTACAGAGGAGGTCTAGTGCTAGAATTATTGCTCTTGCGCTGACGTTTGTGGCGATACCTCACGTGTGTGGTTTGAACACCATTTACATATGTGTTCACCACTACGTGCGAGCACGGGGGGAGAGGGGCACTTTAAACTTTTTTTATAAATTTATTTAATGTTTTTTTGTTTTGTTTTTTGCACTGTACCTTTAAAAACATTTTTAATCACTTTTATTCTTATCACAAAAAATTCATGCATCCCTTGTGATAGAAATAATTAGTGATAGGTCCTATTTATGAAGAGATATGGGGTCAATAAGACCCCACATCTCTCCTCTGCAATGTAAAGCATTGGATCACAAAAAAGCATTGATCTAGTGCTTTAAAAAAAAAAAAAAAAAAAAATGGCCAGAACCAGAAGTAACATTGCTCCAGTCCTCCAAGGACATAGAGATGAGTGGAGGCCATCTTTCCTTCACTCATCTCTATGCCCAGCGCCAGGATCACTGGATGGTTTCCCAGGTAAGGCTGAGAACCCCGCGAGGGGCGTGGTTTTTTCGGCACCTGTATCTGTGCTTTTCTGCATTTTGGCCGACAGTATTTAACCAGTGGGACCACCTGGTTCCCAAGATGAAAAGCAAAGACCTAGTCATTTCAAGGCTTTGCTTTGAATTTTGATTGGAGTGTTGCCTTAATGAAGAGAATGGTCATACACTAAACTACAGTATAATCCTCTCAATCTTCAGTGGGAAAAATGCAAGCAGAACACCTACTCAAATCAAAGGCTAGACACTGAAATATGAGACTACCAGACTACCAGTTGTACAAGTACAACACAGTTGATGAGATTGCACTTTTGCTTTCTTCAGATTAGTGTTTATGGCATTGCTAAAAAAACTGCTACACAGAATGTTGCTCATTTACAACAAACACAGTGTTCCTTCCCAATTAGGCTTAGCCAAGTCTTTAGCCTCCAAACTTTTCTATTGCATTAAGAAAAAAATAAAAAAAAAAGGTCTAAGAAGGTTATTGTAAACCTATTCATTAGTTTAGTAAACGTTCTGATGTCACAATCTCTCTCAGATACATCATCCTGATGGCTAACATAATACCAAACTGCTTGAGGGTTCATGCACAAGCAACAAGCATTTTATATGCGCAGCATATTTTCCAGTGCCACACACAGCCTGCCATACAAGTAATGCTCTTGTAAACACTGATATATCTTTCCACTGGTAGGTACCCAAACATTCACATCCAACGTATTTTGCAAACACGGGAATTCTGCATTCAGAAAGTATGTTGGATGCACATACGCAGGTAAACCCCGTTTCTTTGAAGAATCAGCATTTACAACAGCACAGCTGCAGTCAGCTATTCACTTGTATAGCAGGCTGTACATGACACATGGGGCTTCAAAGGTGTGGGAAAGCACTGGGAAATTACGATAGACATAAAATACCTGGAAAAGCCCCATATGCATGAACTATGAAAACTGAACTTACATAAAACAGAGAAAACAAAAATGACTATGAAAATGCAGCAACCAAGCATCCCTAAACTGGATTACAGAAAATGTTATGGCTTACTGCACATTTGCACTGTGCTCTGCTTTCCTGAATAAACTGATTTCTCTAATAATTCTGCTTCTGTTGCTCATTCAGTTAAAACTAAATAAATTCACATGGAAACTAAGTGTAAAGGACGCAAAACGGAAACAGAAAATCACTAAGCCTACATGAATGAAGTCTGAACTCCAAGCAGATATAAAAACACTAAATTATGAAACTATGAAAGCCTCTGGCCTACTGCAATGCACATAAATTTACAGTAAACATGCTGACAGTAGAACAAGGCAGAGAGATAATCTCACAGTGTGCTTCTTCTCCTTCATAATCCAATCAACAAATTGGGGAGTGTCCAAGTTCTGTCAAAGGTTACAATAGCGATCACAGGCCTGGCTATGCAGTCTGCCATTGGTGGCTGGATCACAAGGATGCCAGGAAAATTGGTTTGCATACATGCATTTCACTTGTATGTCTAGTTGTTTGCCTGGGGTTCAGCTTTAATCTGTGCTAGCCAGGTTGTTACATTAGTGATGGAAAGAGAATAGTGCAGCAATTATACTAGCAGATGCTATCACTTTGGGAGTTTCTTTTACTCTGTGTCTATCAAAGGAAATGGTTTATCTTCTTTTATTGTAATCACATACGGTACATCCATGTTTAAGGCTCAGCTACACATGAGATTTCAAATAATTTACTAGCTTGAGGTTAACCTCACTGACAAATCACCTTATCTGCAAAACACTGAATTCAATGGTTTGAAAATAAAGCAGCAAATCAAGACCATTTGATGCCAATAAGTGTTAAAAAATCCACATGCAGTTTAGCCCTTGCTCTAAATAAAAAACATTAAACAGCAGCAAATGCAAAGGAGGTACAGACAGAAGAATGAACCCTTGTAGTTGGCAACAAGACCTCTTAAAGCAGCTTTTCACCATTATCCATAAAAATAATAATTAGCAGATATTCTGAGAACTCCCATCAGTACATAAAAAAGGTTCAGCTGTACAAACATGTCTCCTACTGGCATTATGAGAAAGAGGAGTGCGGTTGGTACAGAGCTTTAAATGTCCTTTGTAGGATTTTTCAAGGAACCGTCTTTAACCCATGCTTCAATAAAGCTGAAAATAGTTTATGACTAGGTTCAATATGTAAAAAAATATAGCATTATGGAATACATTTACATCCAAAAATATATATGATATCTGGTGAAGAGCACCTGGTCTTAAAAATGTAGCTTGATATGATAGGTCACCTGTGAACCCATTGCTCTGAATGGGCTTAGTAGATATGTCAAAAAATTTCTGTTTCTTAAAATTATTGAACGTTGGCTCAGCACAAAACCGGTCATCAAGCTGACATTCAGTAGTTTGTATGACATCTAAACAAAACTTAACCAACATTTCTGCACCTGATTGGGTTGTCACATGTTTAAAACTGGAGTACTTGTGAACCACATGTGTTAAACCAGACGAACCCACAAGACCATGTAATCATCTTTTGCCAGACTTATTAGAACATTCAAGATGGTCAGTGTAATCGCAACTGCTGATGTCAGGAACAAAGTGAGCGACGGTCTGCAGATCCTCTCTCCAATAAGTAACAGACAGGTATGTCCCCATACAAAGCAGGATCAGTCATGGGATACAGAAGAAGAAAAAAAAGTACAACCCCGAGAATGTAGAAAATGAGAATAGTTGTGCGCTGTGGATGGTCCAAAGCTGTAAATATGGCTGGAAATCCAATGTAATTGCAGAAGGAATGGCAAAGTACAGGTCCTATAATATGCCCTAAAAGAAAAAACAATCAGTTTTGGCAGGTTTATCATAAAAGAACATTAATAACCATCTGCCAAGTCATCTAAAAGTTAAATGTGTTCTCCCCTGCAGTGGCTTTGTAAACCTGTTTTTTCAACCATGTGCAAGTTACATATTGAAAACAGCCATTTCCCCTCCTGTTTTATGCCACTGACTGATGGACAACAGAGTGAAAACCAGGAGAAGAGGTAGTTAATCATAAACTAAAAAGCATTGTACAGTAGTTGTCATCTGTCCATAGAAACTGGTGAAGACTTTCTCCTACAGTTAAATACACATCCTATCCAGAACATCCAATCTAAAGTTGTGCACCTTCTATTGACAATAATGTGCAACGTGTTTAGTTATTTAAAGTATGTTCTAAAGTCCCTCATTGGCCCTCCTGTTACTCGGTTTTAGCTACACCACATATTTATTGCTGTAGGGTTGTACCAGACTCTTCCACACTCCTCTTCCTATACTTTGTCTTTCTTCCTTTTACTTTTGCATCATTAGTACCACAAGTGTACTCTGTTTGACTCTCAGCAATTGAATCAGGTCCTGATTGGGGCAAGCATTTAGGTTGTTGCAAGGTTTGTGTTTAAGCTGTATTATGTGTACATCATTAGAACCTAATATCTGAGTTTTCAGAATGACTCTGCTCATGGCTATTTTCCATTGTTTTGCTGATTTATGTGGCCTGTACATGCTGCGACTGTTCTATTTGTATGCTTTCAAATACAATGTATGTTCTAAAAATACTTGTCATTGTATACAGTAGGCATGTAAGCCTCAAAGGCCTTTGAAGCAGGGTCTCAAGAGGCACCACTCACCCATTGGCTTCCAGGTCTCTGGTATTACAGAAACAAGGTAGAGACTTACTTCAGGAATGTTCAATTTCATTTTGTTTTGTGCAAAGCAAAACACATTTTTCTCCAATTCCTTTGTGCATGATTCACAGTGAAAGCAGATTCAGAACGGATTGATGAATCTACGTTGGTTCTGGAAAGGTGCAAGTCTAAACTGAAAAACAACATTGCAACCATGCTTGAGGAGGACTAGGGTGATGCCTGGGACCACCTCATCTTTATGCTAAGAATAGCCTTATCTAGTTTAACCACTTGCCCTCCAGAGGATTCCTGGCCAGGCCAATTTTTGCGATATGGCTCTGCGTTTGAAAAAAAAAAAAAAAAAAAAAAAAAATATATATATATATATATATATATATATATATATATATATATATATATATATATATATATATATATATGACTTTTTGATATAAAACATATCCAGTAAAGAAATTTTAAAAATCAAATTTCATCCCATTGTGGTGGGCTATCCCCAAATAAAAGTATTTTGGGAAGAAGTTTAGAACTTGTCCCCAATATGCATCTGTCTTCTAGGCCTTATAGATGGACTGGCAACAACAGTTGCTGCCAGAACATTGCTCAGCTTGCTTTCCTACTGCACTGAGCTCTTTCAGGAAAAACCTGACGAATGTCTCTTTACAAACCGTACTTATGAAAATAGAGGGTGTGCAAATAAATGTAAAAGTGTGGCAAGAATGGGTAAATAATAATTAATCAAATGCATGATATGTGATTTGACAAAGGCATAAACATTAGGTTAACGTATAGGTACACCTTGGATGCTCTATTGATGGATAACAGATCTGCCATTATGTATTCATTTTACTCTGCAGTAACAGGATCTATATGGACAGTTAGACACAGCAGTACAATTAATCCCTACCACCTGATTGCACTTAATTCCAATATTATGTCTCGGTTAGTTTTCCAGAGATATTTCCATAAGCATATTTCACATAAATACGACTAAAGGGTTAATAACGAAATAGTGGAAGACAGACCTAACAATAATAACTGGTGGGTGGTTGGAATTTAAACGTCCATGCCATAATTAGAGTATATGATAATGAGTGAAGAAAATAGGTTTATTATTGGTAAAGATAAGAAGTCAAAAATGGACTGAACTTTGTTCTTTAATAAGCACTAATAAAGTGAGCTTGTCTGCTCAGAGTTGATGTTTCCAAGATCAGGAAGTGAAGTTTGTAGGCAGTTCAGCTGAGAGTGAAGCAGGAGTCACACTGATGGAGGGTTATTAAAGGATAGCCAAGTTCCGGATGTTTGATATCTCAGGATTACACAAGAGGAGACCGTCATGGAACCTATATGTTGACGCATACCTTGACCTTTCTTTAGTCAGAAGGTCATGGTTATCTGGTAAGCCTGCACTGTGTTTTCTGGTGGGGGGTTTTTCCCCACTATCTTCAAGATAACTGTACTTAGAGGCTCTTATGTTGGTGGATGTGGTCACAATCTCTTCACCTTTCAAATTTGGATACTCTTATTTGTTCACTTCTAGACTTTAATATAATTTAATATAAGTAACATAAATACAGTGAAGGAAATAAGTATTTGATCCCCTGCTGCTTTTGAATGTTTGCCCACTCACAAAGAAATTATCAGTCTAAAAATTGAATCGTAGGTGTATTGTAACACTGAGAGACAGACTAGCAACAAAAAATTCAAAGGAAATGCATGTCTAACAAATTATGCACTGATTTTTATGTTCATGAGGGAAATAAGTATTTGATCCCCTATCATTCAGCAGGATTTCTGGCTACCAGGAGTCTTTCATACAGGTAACAAGCTGAGATTAGAAGCAGCCTCTTAAAAGACAACTGCACCGCATCAAAGGGACGAAGAACGGGGCAATGTACCATCCAATCTTGGGTGAGAACCAGCATGACAATGACCCAAAACACACGGCCAAGGCAACAAAAGAGTTTCTGAAGAAGAAGCACATTAAGGTCCTGGAATGGCCTAGCCAGTCTCCAGACCTTAATCCAATTGAAAATCTGTGGAGGGAGCTGAAAGTTCGAATTACCAAACGTCAGCCACCAAACCTTAATGACTTGGAGAGGATCTGCCAAGAGGAGTGGGACAAAATCCCTCCTGAGATGTGTGCAAACCTGGTGGCCAACTACAGGAAACGTCTGACCTCTGATTGCCAACAAGGGATTTACCACCAAGTACTAAGTCATGTTTTGTGAAGGGGATCATGAACATGCAAATCAGCGCATAATTTGGTAGACAAGCATTTCTTTTGAATTTTTTGCTGCTATTCTGTCTCTGTGTTACAATACACCTACCATTCGATTTTTAGACTGATTATTCCTTTGTGAGTGGGCAAACATTCAAAATCAGCAGGGGATCAAATACTTATTTCTTTCACTGTATTTCTTTAAGATCAATTTTGTTTGAACTGGTTATCTTTATTAAGTCGCATTTTTTATTTTTCTTTGATATATTGGAATTAGCACAACATGTGATTTTGGTGTATGTCTTATATCTCATAGTATGATTGCAGCGCTTTCCATGTAATGCTTGGTATTCACCTAAGCACAGTTCATGTCACTTCACACTTATAATGAAAAGAGGAACCCTACAGCTCCCAAAAAGTTTTGGCATTACGATTTGTTGAAAAAAAATATTACTGGATTGAATCAAGCTTTGTGCCATTTTCATCTTTTTAATGCTCTATAGTAGGGGTCTCCAAACTTTCCAAAGAAAAGGCCAGTTTACCGTCCTTCAGACTTTAGGGGCCGGCTGTGCCCACTTCAAGCAAACAATGCCCTATCTTTGGTATTTGAGGAAGAACTAGTTGGTGACAGTGGGAGGAATAGTGCCCCATTTTGGTGTCAGTGGCAGGAATTATGCCCCATTGTTGGGTGTCAGCGGAAGGAACAACACCTCAATGGCCCTGGGGCCGCAATTTGGAGCCCACTGCTCTATAGAATACTCCAGGGACTCTATGGGACAATCTGGCTAACAAAGAGCTGCTTCTGAAAGTTAGATTTGGACTTCCGAAAATTCCCTCTGGGGTCCAGCGCTCCATCACATATTTACTCTATGCTGAGAACTGCTCTTATGAGGTCATTAAAAGTAGCACTATATGTGTACTATAAAAGTGCTAAAGTATACAAGAAACAAGTAAAGCAATGCCATGCATTCATACTAGTTATGTATTTTAATAAATGTTTTAGCACATGCATGGGTATGTCCCAAAAAAAAAAAGCTTACAAAAGGCCATGATGATGTGCTATTTGTGAGAAATGAATACTCGGCTACAATTAATTTATCAATTATAGAGCTATAATGCATTCTCATGAAGTCAATGAGGAAAAAATCCTGCTTGTTCTCTTGTTGATGTGGACTGTACATTGTTTTTCTATGCTGAATATGTTATTAAACTACATTTAATCAGATCAAATTGGTCTCACCAATATTCTCACCTGTTCTTATGAAGATAAAGGCAGTGTAAGCTCCAAATACTGCAGTATATGAAAATTGAAATGCTATAAAAAGAAAAAAATATTTAAATGCCTGGATTGATAAATAGAAACAAAAACAGGAAAGAAAGACAGAAAGAGAGACCGAAGAGGTCAGAAAGAAAACTTGGTTTTAAAAAGGTAACACATCACATACCAGCTGACAGAAATATGGTCACAACAGTACCCTGTCGAAATCGTAGCTGCTCAATAACATGATGGAAATGAGCTGAAACAAAATATACACATATATAAAAAACAAGGTAAATATGATCTAAAATAGGTAGTAATAGAAAAACTATACTCTTATACAGGACAAGCAGCTCCATATATTGTGAATCAGAAACTGTTTTTACAACATTTACAGTGTCTTAAAGGGAACTTATAGTCTACTCAATGTGTTTTTTAGATACCGAATACATTTAATCAATATGGTATTGATGCAAATAATGCAAAAGCAAAGTACATCTGCACATAGGTCTTTGTCCATATTAAATGCTCTTTTACATTTTTGTATTAGCATATACATACAAAACAGTTCCACTTAAAATAGCAATATTTCGGACCAGGTCTAGTCTTTTGTCACCACTTTTTTGCATGCTTGCTGAAGGAGGTTTCATTCTGGCATCAGATAATGGATAGGATGTGCATGTATCATTATGGGAAAATGGCTCAAAGTAGGAAGATGCCTCATGACAAAGAAGAATAATGGCAGATGTAGCTGATAAGAGCACAGAGCTGTTTTAGCTATGGAAGGACAACCTCAGATCTACAGTAAATCTGCCATAACGTGCAAAAAAACAAAAACAAAAAAACCCACAAACACACAAAAAACCCCCCCCCAAACATTTATACTAACCTAGGTGTATGCAGCATCAATTCAATGCTGCAGCTGTCCCCTGCTGCCTCTGCACAAAAAACTGAGCGATCAAAGACCGCAATTGCTCTCAGTTCCCCCCCTCTGCTCTGAGCGGAGAGCCAGACTGTCATTCTTCTGCTCTCTGCTCTGCCCATCCAGCGCTTACTGGATGGGCTGGCTCAGGCACTCAGCACAGATCGCTGAAAGGGCTGAGCCAGGCGCCTTTCGAGGGTTGTGGGTGGATCTTTTCAGAGCGTGGACTGGCTCTTTTACGCCAGCTGACAGCGGGCTTCAGCTCACTGTTGGCTGAAAACGAATTATAGGAGTGCAGAACTAACTGCACTCATGTGATACATAGGAGAAATACAGCCCCAACTGACTGAAGTGGTTGTAAAGGCTAAAAGTTTTTTTACCTTAATGCATTCACTGCATTAAGGTAAAAAAACCCTGTCCTGTTTTGCTTATACTGCTAGCATTAGTAAATAGATAGGAAAGTATATCATATTTTCTGCTTTAAACATTTTCTTCCATTTCTTCAGTTACTTCCTGGTTTCCTAGGAAAATGATGTCATACATTCCAGCAGTCTTCAGGAGGGGAGGGAGGGTTCTCAGTTCAGCCTATGCCTGAGCTAAGGGCATATTGATTCCAGGAACTAAAATGATACATGAACCATCTGCCCTTACTCAAGATGGCCACTGACAGAAATGTCAGGGGGTGTTTTTCAAAATGTTTCTCAGCTAAATAAAAGCATGGAGACATGATTGGATGGGCAAGTTTGCTTTGAATATTAAAAATGAATTAAAAGAGCATTTTTAGTTTCTGATGCTCAGATGCAGTGCAGTTCCACTGTAACCCTTTTGCTGCCGCTACGGCGTACAGATCAGACAGCAGTGGGTTTTATACACAATCCACCAGGATTGTGTGTAAAACAGACAGGCAGACTCCTGCCTGTCAGATGTTAGCTGTCAGGTTGCTCCGCTACTGCCGATCGCTTCCACTGCCCCCGGGTCTGGTGCCTCCTCACAGGCGAGCCATTGCAGGTGCCGGTGAGTTGAGAGGAGATAGAATAGCCGGGGAGCCAAGGGGAAACATGCAAGGTCTTTTGGACCCTGTATGTCTCAATAAAGAGAACCTGTCACCAAAAATCATCACGTGTCCCCTATGCGATAGAAAAAAAAAATATTTTTTTTTGTTGTAAAAAAAAAAAATAAAGTTACACACAAGCACATAACATTCACCCCTTTGAACATTGAACTACTCTGGGCAAGTGATCAGGATTTTTTTTTTTTAAAACACATTATGATTGTTAACACCAATGTATTTCATTGATATTGGCAATCATTGTTACTGAATGAAACTGATTCATTTAGTCTTTTGTTGTGATTAGATGTGATTGGGCAAATCTGATCACATGATACAGATGGGCTGTGATTGGCCCTGTCTGTATGATGTGACTGCCTTGACCAGTCACAGCTAAAGACATAATTGTATACAATGGATGGCATTACAGGAAGCCATCCATTGTATACAATTGACGTGATCTGCTGTGATTGGTCACAGCAGTCACATGACACTGGCAACGGGTTGGTGTAGTGATATGTCATCGGCTGTGTCCCGTGGACACTGCCGGTGACAGATTGCACCGCTCTGCTGCGCGGCCCCGTGAGCGGCTCATTTTGACATGACCTCATATGACGCCCAGTGAAAATGGCAAGTGCCCCGCCCGGCCTATAGCAGATTGATTGCCAGGCGGGGCACTCTCCGTTGTGATTGGGCGTCATATGAAGGTGTTAAACATGTGTACCAAAAATGCAAAAATGGCTCTGGCAGCAAAAGGGTTAAACAAAGGGGTCATTTTGGCTCAAACCCAGGATAGCTGCACAAAATACCTTTTTACACAAATGGCTGATTGTTAGAAGAAACCAAATATTATCTAAGTATGAAAAGTGCAGAAACAGTGAGAGCCTCTGGTACTGGCAATCACCTACAGGCCCAAGCAGTGTGCATCATATGAAATAATGAATGTTGTCTTATAGGGAAGAACTCCTAACACAATTCAGAAATGCTTTTCAGAAAAAAAGCTACCCATAACATTTCCTAGCTTCTTTGCAACACTGGAGATATTTGACACGTTAACAGATTCAAGACTGAAATTAATAAAAAAAATTTTCATAGACATTGTGCTATACTCACCAATGCCAAAGAATAATGGACATGTAAAGATGGCTGTCCCAGGGCTAGTACATGGTACTAACATAGGAAGCATGCAGGCCCTGAAGACCAACTCCTCTGTTAGCGGGGCAATCACCTGGTTACGTAGCCACCGCATGTCAGTTATGCAGAGCATCCAGAACCTAGGATCTGAATTATCAAATAAACACAAGATGTAATGCTAAGAAGTAATACAGAGAAACTATATCAAGGAAAATGTGTTACAAATTTTACTCAAAACACGGATTTTCTGCTGATACTGTAAACTGGAAATACCTTACCAAAAGCTACTTTCAAGCCATCGAGGAAGTCCCACGGGCAATCCATAGAGAGCTGGACAAGAGGACCAAGGAACAATATCTGCATATCAGGGCAAACATTGTTTTTGTTAATATAAGCTTTTAGCTGACCTGAAAATGGGAATTGTTGGTTGCTGTAGTGTTCTTACCATGGTCAATAACAGAGGTAAAACTGTAGCTATAAGAATGCCTTCAAGACGGAAACCCATAAGGGAAAGGAAAGCTGCATCTGTCTGGAGATAAGAATAACATTTGTGAAAATAATTTCCATGTTCCTGAAGTGGAAAGTTATTACTAGCCACTACTGCATTTTGACAACAACTAGATGACCATTTACATTTTAATTACAACATGCTTTGTTAATTTTTCCCCTAAATCTCCTTTGCAAGAAATAGTGCGGATCCTGTCTCATTAGTGGTCACAAAATTTTAACAACCTTAGCTTGTCCAGATTGGGTACAGATCCACATTTACATTCTGCAACTGTATGGGTAAATAAAAGAATATGGCTTACATTAAGCCCGTGTTCACACTCATGTGGTGTGGAATTCGCAGCGTTTTCAGTGCGAATTCCGCACCGCATCAGAATCGCACCCTATTCATGTGAACCACTGCGGGTGTGTATGTTAAATTAAGAAACACCCCGAAAGCGGTCTGCAAAACGTGGTGCGATGTACAGAATCGGATTGCATAGATACGAATACCTATGTGATCCGATTCTAGTGTGGACCCAAAAAAGAGAGTCCTGCACGTTTTTGGTGCAGATGTGGTATGAATAGAGCCATACAAAACGTATGGCTCCAATCACACCGCACACAAATCGCATGTGATTTGCACAGGAATGCAGTGCGGTTCCTGTGCAAATCACATGCGGTATACCACACCACATATGTGTGAACCCAGCCTAAAAGATATTCTAAACATATATGCAATAAAATGCAGCTTACAGTCCCTAGATATGGTGGCTGCATTAGTTTGCTCTTTTTATGCTAAAAACATTTTCAGTAGATACACCTTGTAATACAAGAAAACTCCTGTTGATCTTGCAAGAAATGCCGTGTCCTAGTCCCTCTATGTGAACTGCACCAAAGAATATCTTCCTTCCTAGTTATATTCTGTAATCTACCTTTTGCCCTGCACCCCAATAGACGTGAGGAGATACAGACATGTTTGTAGTCCATATCAGAGAACAGTTTTAATCAAATATAATAATTTAAGAATTGAATTATTTACACACATCTTTCTTTTTGCAATAAGCAGTCAGCTGTGCATATATCTATCCTATACTGTGCTCATCATTAGCAGACATAAAGCCGCCACGCACGAGTAAATCAAATGAGACCTGGCTATATAGCCTGTTTCCAAATCGACACAAACGAAGGCTTCAGACTGTAGCCACACTGTCTGGATCAATTGTCAGCTACAGCTTTGCAGAAACCATTTTTAGATTATATTTCTATTGAAATGTGATCTCATCCAGTTTGACTTACAGCCATTGTGCTATTCAAAATCAATAGCAATGACAAGATACTATAGCAATCAATGGCATAAACCGCTACAGTAAATGAGAGGGACCGAGTTGCTTTTGTTTTGGATAGAATAGGGAATGGCTAGAATCTTTGTCAGGTTTCCATTTTGATGTGTGACCCTATCATAGAGATTTTCCTTAATGTCCTGTCCTGGTGATAAAAAAGTGGTGGGACAGGAAGTGGTGTACAGGAGCTGGTGGGACAGGAAGTGGTGTACAGGAGCTGGTGGGCCAGAAAGTGGTGTACAGGAGCTGGTGGGCCAGAAAGTGGTGTACAGGAGCTGGTGGGCCAGAAAGTGGTGTACAGGAGTGGTGGGCCAGAAAGTGGTGTACAGGAGCTGGTGGGCCAGAAAGTGGTGTACAGGAGCTGGTGGGCCAGAAAGTGGTGTACAGGAGCTGGTGGGCCAGAAAGTGGTGTACAGGAGCTGGTGGGCCAGAAAGTGGTGTACAGGAGCTGGTGGGCCAGAAAGTGGTGTACAGGAGCTGGTGGGCCAGAAAGTGGTGTACAGGAGCTGGTGGGCCAGAAAGTGGTGTACAGGAGCTGGTGGGCCAGAAAGTGGTGTACAGGAGCTGGTGGGCCAGAAAGTGGTGTACAGGAGCTGGTGGGCCAGAAAGTGGTGTACAGGAGCTGGTGGGCCAGAAAGTGGTGTACAGGAGCTGGTGGGCCAGAAAGTGGTGTTCAGGAGCTGGTGGGACAGAGTGGTGTACAGGAGCTGGTGGGACAGGAAGTGGTGTACAGGAGCTGGTGGGACAGGAAGTGGTGTACAGGAGCTGGTGGGACAGGAAGTGGTGTACAGGAGCTGGTGGGACAGGAAGTGGTGTACAGGAGCTGGTGGGACAGGAAGTGGTGTACAGGAGCTGGTGGGACAGGAAGTGGTGTACAGGAGCTGGGGGGGACAGGAAGTGGTGTACAGGAGCTGGGGGGACAGGAAGTGGGGAGATATGTTTTTAATAGCAACAGAGACAATATATTTTCCTCATTAGGCAGGGGAAGGTTAGAAGGACAACTCCATGTCTCAAGCAAACCAGTCACCAATAGGCATCTACTGTATAGTTAGGCCTTCAAAACTTCTGCCTGAACTAAGTGCTGATAAGATTCACTCAAGAAACGGTCATAAAACACAGGTGCTGTCAGGATTACATAGAAAAAAAAAACCGAAACACTTTCTAAGCCCTCATTCACACAGGCGTACCCATCCGTACACCTGTACTGAGGGCAATCTTTGCCCGCACATGATGTACAAGTGTTTTGTGCATCCACATGCAGGCAGTCTCACTCATGTCTATTGAGATGCAGTGGCGGCACAGACACAGGCACTGGTTCAAATGTGACAGGTGAGCTGGTGTGTACCCCAGAACATACACGGTCTTCATTTGGGGACAAGCACCCACACAGGACGCATGGAACACCTGTGCACCCTATAAAGGCAAAGACGGCCCTTTGCACAAGTGTATGAATAGGTACGCCCATGTGAATGAGGCCTAATAGACCCTTTTTCAGCACTATAGCCAGAATGTCTTTTAATAACCCCAAGTATAGACAGGAGAAATGACAGCCTCAATGGAGGTCTTACAGCCTCACACTGGACTGACAAATTTTCAATGTAGTTTGGTGCAGAACCCAAGCAACAAGCTGGACCAATGTAACGTTCTCTGAATCAACTGTTGGTATAGGATTATAACTTTTTTTTTTTTATGGTTGAACTGGATGGACTTTTGTCTTTTTTCAGCCAGACTAATTATGTTAATTAGGCAACAGAATCATAACTGGAGTTCAGCTTTAAAGCCTAAGTATATGTTTCCTATCATTTTAAACAGTTCGTTTGGGCCATGCTGGACCAAACAAACTATTTCCATAGTTAAGTTTTTCTGCCATTGTTAGCGCTGTACCACCGTAGCCTACTAGCATCAGCTCCATACAGTATGCAGCACTATTTTCGAGCAGTATCACAGTCTTCCAGTCTGCTGTCAGAACAAAATCGTGTTAGGCTAAAGGCTTCTCGACCACTCAAAAAGGAGACCTTGCATTTTTATGAATGAGTACAAAGTTTCCACTGATTGGCCAACGTGGACAAGTGGGCAGATGACATCACAATTTCCAGCTTGGCCAATCAGGGGAAGCCTTGCATTCATTCAGAAAAATTCAACGCTTCCCCTGAATGACTGAGAACGCCCAGTCCAACTTGATTCTATTCTGACAGTGGATGGTTAGTTGCCTGTGATGCTGCTGGAACATGATGCTGCATACTGTATGTAGCTGATGCTGCTACAGTATGATACAGTGCCGACAGTGGCAGAATGGCTTAGTAATGGAAATAGTTAATTTGAGCCAGCTTGGCCCAATCAAACTATTTAAAGTGAAAGAAAACATGGACTTAGACTTTAAAAAAAATTAGATTCTTACAAATGCCCTCTCCTGACTGGTTCTCTTTCAACTACATTGGTTCACAGAAAACCCTTTCATGACCAAAGGTCATTTACACATAGGTGCCCAAACTAAATTTAGCAGTGTCAAAATGTGTTGGTTAATTTGACAAAGACTCTATGACAGTGGGCTAAAGCCACTGGGGAATCTGGGTCGCAGGAGAGCAAAAGAAACTGTACTCTAGTGACCCAGAAAAGAAGTATGGCCAAAAAAGGCTTTGACCATACTTCTTTTTTTTTAAAGAAATGCCCTTCTCAGGTCTCTTTTTACAGGCTGGAAAAATTTTATTTTTTTGTGCAATCTTTTTAAAACTGTAACTGTAACAAAAAATTACAGCATAATACTGAGGTGCACTACTATCTTCCATCTGAAAATCTGCAGGATGAAGGGCTTGTATGAAAATCTCAAGCCTGCATGTGATCATCATGCTAGACTCTAATGAAGATCACATGATTGCAAACCACACAACTTCTTTCCTGATCATTTATTCCGACTGGAGCAGTTACAGCACGGTTTCTCACAAATAGTATCTCAGGGAACCCCTGAAATAATGTTCAGATTTACAGCTCACAGAACATTGGTGTAATTATGAGTCGATCTTGAGATAAGAAGTGTACAGGAGTCAGCAGGGCAGAGCACAGGGGGTACCAGCAAGTCACATTAAATGTGGGCTCGCAGCAGGGTGTGTTACATGGGGGGGAAGAAGCAGGGCACATTGCGTGTGGAGCACCAGCAGGGCATGCAGCGGTAGTTTTGTTTTCATGCAGAGCTGTGCTAAGAAGCTGCTGGCAGCCCTGTTGTAGCATGCTGTCCCCTGCCGACCCCTCATTCATCCCTGGTAATGTCACAAACAAGAAACTGGGATGGACAGGAGGGGAAGAGGTGCCGGAGGGGAATAGCGTGCTATAACGGGAATCCCAGCGCAGCTCTGCATGCAGGGTAAATATGGTGATGCGATCTACCCATCAGCCGCCTGCGACTGATGTGGCAGAACCCCTGGGCAATTCTCCTCAGGTTGAAAAATCCTGTTTTAGAGATTTCTGTATTGACCTTTAGAGATGGAGTATGGAGCCTGCTACTGCCTATTCTTCTGAAAAAATTAGTTCAGGATTTTCAATGGCTTCATTACCTTTTATGTCACTGCCTGGTAACAAGTATGCAGATCAGGAGTTCCGATTTCATATCAACTTTCCTGATCTGCATGCTTGTTCCAGGTTAATATCCTAAAGCATTGATGCCAGAGACGGCTAGCATTTTCAGGGGGTCTGCAAATTGCAGTTC